CGTTCTTAACAATCTGAATTATTAGCATTACTGTTAGGTCCATGCATAGCAACGAAAGCAATCAGGTCAGTCTGCTAACATCCATAATATTATTACCATTAAGTTTTTCCCACTATTCTAAGTGCACTCTTCCCAATTTTTCTGCCCTCGTAGATAATAAATAAGGTCAGTGTCTTCAAACTCGTTCATAACTCTATGTATACATTTGCTTTTATTTCTGTAGAGACGCAAATCAACAAAACAAAGGCTATCCGGTATAGCGTTGAACAGAAGTAAAAGCAGCTCTTAATGTTCTTATCTCATCTGACCCCGTATTATCATATATAATAATATTATTGGGGTTTGTTTGTTCTTTTGTTTTTTCGGGTGAGGGGGGGGGGGGGTACTTCTTCAATTTCACCTTACTCCATGTCAATTAACGTATTGTATTTAGAGATGAAATTTACTTACATAGGTAAACATTTGCACAGGGATCTCAAAAATAACTATGCTCGGCATTCTATCGACAGTGAAATATCCTGAAAATCTGTGATTGGCCGTAACGGGCTGTGCCGAAGCAGATTCCACCCCCAATGTCTAGTATGTGCTGTCAGCAACAGTGGAGGAGGATCACTTTTGGGTCTTAATCTCATTACTTATGATTGACTAAAACCCAAGCATCACCCCCACCTTCCCCTTTTCAAAATTAAAGTATTCAACTAAATATTTAAATCAATAGGTTCGTATTTTAATTTCAGGTTATGATTAAGGCGTGGCCCATGTGTGCAAGGAGATGTCTTCATAACTACACGTTTTAAGTTGTCATTATGCCAGAGTTGTTAGACTGTAATCATAAAGCCGGGCATCATTTCGCTGAGTCAGTACACATACACAAACATGAAATGAAAGGACATCCCCCTCCCCCAATAAAAAAAACCCAACAACAACAGCAACAAACAAACAAACAAACATACACACAAGCATTTCAAAGCCATATTTCCGAAGTCCTGTTTGAAAATGCCTTTAATACAAACTATGTCGTGGCCCATGGTCAGCGCGTGTTAAGATTTCTTTTAACGGGAGGGGGGGGGGGGGTAGTTTTATTGTAAATTTTCCTGTTTTAGGCCCTAACCGATACAATTTAGGTCGTTTTGAAGGCAGGCTTCGACTAGGCATGTCAGGGCCAACCCGCGTACAGTGACTGAGACATCTACGGGAATCGAATTCCCTTCTTCTGTGTACTGAGTACGACGGCAAACCACCTTCCCGCTACACCAAAGACACAGGTCTGGGTCAGTGTGAGCATCGAGAAAACTATTCAGTCCCACATAGTATAAACTAGAAAATATAAACGCTCATGAGTATGATTACCGCCATATTATCGTCCTACCCATCGTCGCCGTACCCTACGTGGTCTGCATCAAACGTAAAACAGAAATGTACTCACCTCAGAATCTGTTGAGGCACTGGAACAGGGAATAGCTATGGTCTGAGACTGAATCCCGTTTGCCTTGGGAATCTTTTCCTCAGAAGCCTCTGTGTGAGCAACACTCTCTGGGTTCTGTCGCCTCACAGAGCCTTGCTTTATTATCACCACAGCTCGGAATCGGAAAATGCGAACTTCTATGGAAACTGAAATGCTCATTGTATATAATTTTTCTAATGCTGAGTTTGTTGGATGGCTATAGTATTGTCCGAGCTGAGGTAAAAATACAAGGAGAATGAAAAATGAACTAGTTATAACGAAAATGTGCTCTCTCTCTCTCTCTGTCTCTGTCTCTCTCTCTCTCTGTCTCTCTCTCTGTCTCTCTCTCTCTCTCTGTCTCTCTCTCTCTCTCTCTCTCTCTCTCTCTCTCTCTCTCTCTCTTTCCTGATCTGCTTAGCTGCCCATAACTCAATTATATAATTATAGTTTTGTTAATAAACAAAAACTTATATATTATGCACATGCCAGTCTTGTTGATTTCAGATGTTCTTTTCACTCAAAAACATTGCGTTTTCTGTCCTCAGATATCAACATAACACATATTTGGTTGCCGAGCTCTCAAGAACCTCAAAAATAAGTAGAGCTGTCTTGAGATTTCGACTATCTTCAATGAAGAAAATTCCACTTTAACGACTCTGAGACTTTCGATTGAGCAATAAAATTGCCTTGGTGTCCCTTAGATTACCTTCTCTTAAAGAACAGAAATAATCAATCAGCAGAATAAAGTGACTGAAATAGTTCTGACTGGAAAGAATTCTAGAACATGACAGAACACAGTGGACGTTCTACGATTGCAAGGTGGTGATTTCTACGGATTTTTGTTGGCAATTGTGCGAATTTATCTACATGTACAATGTGGAATGTGAATTTTCTCCATTCAGTTCTTAGAGAATGAAAACAAGGTCATTGTACGATATTGGAGTACCGTTTCAGCTGACATGTGTCTATTATTAGGCTACAGGTAAAACAGAAATACAATATTGAGTTACTATTATGAGACTGTAGTAAATATTTTTGTTTGAGCTGCATTTCGTT